ATGCCGCCGCCGTCGCCGATGCCGCCATCTCCATTATCAACGCCGTTGTTGCTGTCTATTCCACCACCACCTAGTCCGGAGTCAGCCTTTGCTCTTCCAACCCTACCACGATCTTGGCTCCTCCATCTATCTGAAATTTGGAATGAATGTTTTAAAATGTCATTTTAATGGTCTTTCTTATAAGGAGTATTAAAATAAAGGACATGAATTTTATCATCATTTTCAGATGTTCATGGTATTATAAACTTCACTTGAAATTAGTGTCATTTAGTAACTTCACTTGGCATTATTAGTCGTCTTGATGGAATTAATGTCAAATAAAAATGGCACTATGTGGCAAATAATAATTCCACTAGGAAAAACATGACATTATTAGTAATTTGCAAAGGAATAATATTTTTTTATCTTAATCTAAAAAATACAAAAATATGTTAGAAAATAAAGGACATGAATTTTATCATCATTTTCAGATGTTCATGGTATTATAAATGTTATATTTGCAGGGGATAGTATTGTCATCATAACAGATTTATTACCATACAAATGACATTATGTGTGAAAATAATTTTTTGTATACGCAGAAAATGGCATTATTATTATCCATTTTGATGGAATTAGTGTCAATTTTTTAATATACAAAATTAGTGTGATTTAATAACTTCACTTGGCATTATTAGTCATCTTGATGGAATTAATGTCAAATAAAAATGGTACTATGTGGCAAATAATAATTCCACTAGGAAAAACATGGCATTATTAGTAATTTGCAAAGGAATAATATTTTTATCTTAATCTAAAAAAATACAAAAATATGTTAGAAAATAATTATTGATGGAGGTCAAATCCCAAAAATTATAATTTGTATTGTAATTTGTAAAATATAAATTAAATATGAAAAGAACGTAACGAAAGCCAAAACAAAATTGAAAGAGAAATCAGGAAAAGCAATAAAAAAGAAAAAAATAAAACCAACTTGATAATGGAATAGATCCGATAAAATAAATCTGGAATGAAATAGATCTAGAAAGAAAGAAAAAAATTAAAGCAAAATCAAATAAAAAGAGAAATCAAATTAAAGTTGCTTCACAGTACGTAATTAACTTCATCATCCAACATGAAAGCAACAGTTTGCCGCACTTCCGATCTAATTAAAAAAAACAGAGAGAAGAACGGGAAGAAGAAGAAGAAGAGGAGGAAGAAGAATGAAGAGGAGGAGAAGAAAAATAAAAACTTACCACTGCGATCTTTGCCGCCGCTCGCCGCTCGCCGCTCGCCGCTCGCCCGGAAGTGGAGAAGTTGGAGAAGAAGTGTGATCTAAAAATTAAACAATTATGCTCTTTGTACACACAATTGCACCCACCCTATACACACTATAAAAGCCCCAAAAAAAATTACCCCCACTTTTCCCCTCCTCCCCTTTTCCCCTCACCTCACTCGCGTAACTCCCTCGCTCCCCCCCCCCCCCTTTCTTGAAAATCAAAACACCCCGCCCCCCTTGAGAGTCGAAACTCCTCTCCCCCACCCATACTTGTCACCCATATCCCCACGAGCTCTCTGCGTTTGAGGTGTGAACCGGCATCCATCTCGGGAAGCTCACTCGCTCCCCCCCTTCCGCTGTAACCTTTCTCAAATTGGGACATTCGAAGCCCTGTCCAAGCGTTTAGAGGTTTGAAGCGAGGAGGCCCCATCCTCGCGCACGTGTTTAGGACGACGAAGCTCAGCAATTGTGCGAACCCCACTATCAAAGATGGTGGAGTAGTATGTATCATTTCCCAACCTTTGTTTGTTTTTTAGGTTTTTTTTTTATTTCTTGGGTTTTTAGCAATCTTTGAACATGGAACTGTGGGCTGGTTTATACACTGAATATGTGAAGTATTGTGTCTGAATCAACACTTATGTATGATATGGTATGCTTCCTTTGTTGATGTGTATAAGGTGTGTGTGTGTGGTGGTGAAATCTTCATTAGGCGTTAATTGTTGTCTATGAATGAAATTGTGTTTGTGATATAATATAATTGTTTTGTTTTATGTTTATAACTTGCCTGTGTGGTGGTGTAAAGTAAATTTTTTGTTAATTATTGTCTGTGAATCAAATAATGTACATTTGGAGTTCATAAGTTGGCTGTGTAGTGGTGTGGTTCATTTGGAGTGTTAGTAATTGTCTGTGAATGAAATTGTGTCTATTATAGCGTAGTTCCTTTGTCTATGTTTATAAGTTATGTGTGTGCTGGTGTAAGTTTCATGTGGTGTGTTATTTTATGTTTGACATTTATGTTTGTCCAACTGGCAGTCCGCTAAAGTTACGCATTCCGAGTCACGAGTATTTCCCTGCGCAGTACTCTGTGTGTTCAGACTTTAGAAATGCAGCGGACTGGGTAAAAAAGAGGTTAACTGAAAGACAAAGGGAAGTGTTTAGGGATTTACCATGGGGGCATCTGATTGACATCCCAGAGACAGATAATTCTGGGCAAATATTGCACATGTTGGCCTTACACCTAGTGAAGGAGCAACCGGATGATGAGCTGTGGTTTGCCATTGGGGATACACTGTATAAGTTTACTTATGTGGACTTTTGCTACATAAGTGGATTACCAAACGGTGTTGAACCAGAACCTGAGGCAGCTGGGGATGAAGATTCTGAACAGGATGTTGGACATGATTCAGGACACGAATCTGCCGAAGAAGCTGAACCAGTAGGGGCCCTTGCTCAGAAATATTTTGGTGGCAAAGTTGACATTACTCACGTCACTTTGAAGAATAGATTTAAGAAACTGAGGTTTTCCACACGTGCTGATTCGATGGATGCTGTGAAGTTGGCCTCGTTGTACTACATTGAGTGCGTTTTGCTAGCAAAGGACAACACTACGAGGATAAATGCTTCATCAATCAGACTGGTGAATGATTTAGAGGCATTCAAGAAGTGTCCGTGGTCACTTCGTTCGTACAAGATATTAGTGAAGCATATGAAGGACCTGATGCATGACCAACCTCAGAAGTTCAAGGACAAAAAGCAGGGCAATCCTAAATATAAGAATGCAAAGTTATCATTATACGGTTTTCCACTAGTTTTGCAGGTATATATGACAAATTCCCTATTCTACTTATTTATTTATTTATATATAGGAGATAAATATATATTACTATGGATTGAATAACTATGGATATTAATTACATGTTAAATTTAAACATAGTTATATTTGACATTTAGTTTGTGTTTATTCTTATTTGGTATATAATACGGTTTTCCACATAGTTATTCTTAAATTTAAACTATAACTATATATATACATTTAGTTGCATATATATAACTATATATATACATTTAGGTTGTGTTTGTTCTTATTTCTATAGGTGTGGGCTTACGAAGAAATTCCTGAAGTTGGTAACAACTTTGCAAAGAAAGTGGCTAATCATGACGTGCCTTTGCTAAATTGGACTGCTGCACGCAAATTTCATTACTCAAAGCTTAGACGACTGGTCTTTCCAGAGGTACGTGTGTCTCGTTCATTAACTTAATTTCAAATAGCCTTAATTTGACTAATACTTTTTTCGTAGGAGGTGAATGTTGATGATTCAGAGGAGGGAGAGGAAGAAGATGAAAGAATCCAGGAAGACGTTCGCATTTTTGAAAAACAAAAAATATTGAAAGAGATGCGGGACCTACGGCTGTGTGTCGAAAGGGTGGAGAAGAAGATTACTGGTGTTGAGGATAGTATTTCAGAAATAAAGGTGCTACTCTTGAAGTTGATTAACAATCAGAATCCATCAGTTGACCAAGAGGTATGTTCTAACTTACTTCCGTGTGTCATTCACTGGCCACTTTCATTACCTTGGTGACTAACAAATTAAACTACCTGTATTGTAGGTTCATAAGGTTAATGATGATGAAGTGGTTCATCAGGATGAAGGTGCGGCTGAGGGTGTGGCTGAGAAGATAGTACAAACTGCTGAGGGTGAAGATGGTGGTGTGATTAAGAATTATGCCGGTGAGGTTGACGGTCAGGTTGACAGTGAAGAGAAACTGTCCTCGGAGGAACCAAACGATGCCCCTGAACCAGTGCCGATGAACACCGCGGTTGTAAATGAAGAAGCTGGTGATAGGGAAGGTTGCACACGGCCAGATATCATCATCTCGAGTGTGGTGAATGAGGTATATTTTTTTTTTGTATCTATGTTGTTATTTTTTGGGAATGAGAAATGAAGTGCTTCTTTATGTAATAGGTGAATTGGGAAAGTGAGCAGAATAAGGAAGGAAACACCTTCCCAGATCTAATGATGTGCTTAAACGAGGTAAATATGTGTTTTGGAGTTTGTATTGTGTGTGTATTAATGTCAATGTTGGCATGATGTAAGTTAACTGAGTATGTTATGTGTTGTGAAATCAGATTATTGAAAAAGCATTTAATTGCATGGGTTGTGAACTCAGGTTGCCTTAATGATATGTGAACTAAGTATGAAGACTGTATTGTTTATGTGTTCAAATAAATGTTGGTGTGCATATAAATCTTTGTCTGTGTGTACTAAAATATGCCTGTGTGTAATGGGAATGTATGCAGGTGGAGGACGACAACCTACCTACATTAACAGCGCCCGCTCCATTTGAAAATTTGGAATGGGATGGACACGATGTTGGTAGTGCACCGGTAGATGTTGACGATGTTGAACTTTTGAGCGGGAAAGAAGTGAAAAAGAGAAAACGGTCTCGTTCAAAGTACCAATGCTCACCATATGTTGAACCGATTGTCTCAATTCTGCCTGCTCTGTTTCACCCAACTGTTGCAGATATTGCATCTCTGAAGGCTTGGATAGAAGAAGCTGACAATGTTGAACCGTCAACGGTTGTTCTGAATCTGCCATCATGTGATGAAGTGGACAGGGACTTTTTCCGTAAGCTTGTTGAACCAGACGAGACATTATGGTCCTATGTGAGTGCCTTATCTATTCCACAACTTTCTAAAGTTTTGTCATCTATATATATGTTTGACTTTATTATTTATTAGCATATGGATGCTCTTTCGTACCTGGTTCTAAAAGATTGTAAGTCGGAGAAGCCGTATAAGCTAATGAATCCTTACTTTACGGTATGTGTTGTTTATTTTAACCAAACTTACTTAATAATTTATGATTTGTTCGTAAATCATTAATTACATAATTGTTTATGTAATTAAAACGTTTTGTTCGTGTAGCATCAAGTCTTGAGTAAGGATGATAAGGATGAGGACGTTTGGTTTGCTGATAGGTGTCTACCAAGTGTTGACTGGAGAGGGTTGGAAAAAGTAAGTGCTTAAAGTCTTCATTTAATTGTCTGTGTATTTATTTCATGAGTCAAATTTCATTATTTTCTTGCTTTTATTAGAGTAACAAAGTGACTGCTAATGTATTATTTATTTGTTATTGTGTTCAGGTGTTCATACCGATAAATGTTGTAGGTATGCATTGGGTTTTAGCGGAAATTGACCTTCAATCAAAAGTGGTGCGTGTGTATGACTCAATGAAAACAAGTAGGTCAAGGTTGCATGCCTCAAAGTTATGCGTGAGACTTCCGCTCCTCTTCCGAGTCATACAAGTCCACCCAGATGTGCGTGAGGCAAAGCAATGGAATGCTGAGGCAGTGGCAGATGTACCGCAACAGGAGGGAGGGTATGTGTTGAACAAGAACTTGTTTATGTGTTGTGTACATTTTTGTCTGTGATGACTTAATAATTGTTTATGTGTTGTGTACAATTTTGTCTGTGAGTACTTCATAATTGTTTTTTATGTCTGTGTTGCAGAACTGTTTGTGGACTCATGGTAATTTCTTATACGGAGGCACTGATGTTGGGACTACCCTTGAGCCCACATTGCGAGTATGCGAACGTGGCCAGAAAGAGATGGCACTTTGCCCTGCGACTTTGGAATTTGAGGAAGACAGATTCTTAGACACATGCCCTTTTCTATTTTTTGCTCACATCCACATGTATAATTTTTTGCTCATGTAAAAACATTGGTACGCCCATGATGATGACGGTTCCCATGTAACAAACATTAAATACCTGTTTTGTATTTTTGGTAAGCTTTTGGAAAGAAATGTATGATAATGTACACTGTTGTACTGTAATCAACCTTGTACAGTATCCTACAAGGTTATTCCCAAGAGGGTAGAAATGAAGCGTGTAACATTCGAACAAAATGACTATGATGGTTTTTTCCTGATTTATAGCATTTCGGTATGGATTACGGGTTATGAAGTCTCAAGTGTTTCTAAATGCATGTGTATGTGAGTATATTATATTATTTATATACATTGGCCGCTGGGGTAATGCACATTTATTAATTTTTTGCAATTATAGATTTTGTTCATTATAGCTTAGTACTTTACTAAATTAAGTAGTCTTGAATAAATTGAATATCAAAGTCAGTTAAAAACTTCTTCAATTAAAGCTTATAGTTCATAAAACATAATGTTCATATGTGCTTCTTTACAACCTTATGTTTGTGTCTATGAGTCAATTTTCTTGTTTGTGGCTGAACACCGATCTGACTATGAGGACATAATATTGTCTGTGACTAAAAACAGTGTGATTGATGATACAACAAAAACCAATACATCATAGTACATGTATTCACACCAAAGATAAATTTAAATCTAAACCATTAGAGTACAGCCTTGGCACATTAGTTGCAGTATTACTAGGGCCTTCACTATTACCATGTTGGATTGTTGCGGTTGTGGCTGGTGCATTATCCTTCTTAGCCCTTCCTTTCTTCTTCCCCTTTTCTAATGGACCCTTGGCCCGGTTTTTCCTTGGGGCTCCCTTTCGCTTCGTACATTTTGGATCTCCAATAGGTGGAAGTGGGACCTCGGCACGAATATTTGTTGTTGGATCTTCAAGTGGCGTCATGTTGCCAACAATACAAGAATGGCTAACTGGAGGAGTATATGTGGTCAACTGGGTTTCCAACCAAAGGAGGACTTCATTGTATTTCGCCTCATCATCCGCAACCATGTTGGCAAGAGACTCAAAGGTCTTACATAACTTGTCAAAACGTTGTTGTTCAACCGTTGTAATCCACCCGTCATAATTTATTTTAACTCGTTGGTACGCCCTTTTCATGCCTTTCCTCCATCTACTCATTAGGTACACCTCGGGCAAGTGATGTATATCAAGCCGAACAAAGATCACAAGCAAGTGTCTACATATCATGCCCCTAAACTCAAACAAATGACAACTACATATTCCAAAACTAGTATTTGGGTCAAAGTCAATATGGAAGTTCACAATCTTCCTAAATCCATTAATATCCATATGCTCTTGCACGGTATATTTTCTACCGTCTTCACATAAAAAGATATCACAATAAAGCTTTCCTTCAAGTAATTCCCTTTGAAACTCCGCGAACTTAGAAAGGGTGTAAATTTGTTGCACTTGTTTTTCCATTGGATATCTAGTCACACATGGAATCATTTTGGTAAATGAGCTAGTATCCGCTTGAAATTCTTTTTCCACCTTATCACGCAAAGCACATCCGTATTGTTCAACAAATTGTTTTAGAGTGGTTTTGGAATTGACAAACTTATCGAAAAAAGCGTTGATGCTCTCACTTCGTTGAGTTGTGGACATGCCGGCCCAAAATGTTGGCTTTAAATAACATGGTACCCACCGCGTTCTTTCATTGTACATCACCCGAAGCCAATCATGCTCTTCAAGTGCAAACCTGAACACATTTAAAGTGCACAAAGTCAGTTTGTAAATAAATCACAAACAACTTATTCTCTGCCCACAAACACATTGTGTCCGTGACGTACAAACTTTATCGTCTATGATAAATACACCTGTCTATGAGGCAGAGAAATAGTTACTGTCAGAAGAAGAAAAAAACTTACAAATTCATCATACCTTTGAACCATGTCAAGCCATTTCTCCTCAAACTCTTGGGTGTATTGTGAATCATAAATGCACTCATGTATAACATTCAATATTTCATCTTTGTGTGCATCCCCTCCGAGTTTTTCGGGTACCTTTTTCATTATGTGCCATAAACACCATCGGTGCTTGGAATTTGGGAATACAATTGCAATGGCGTTTTGCATAGCACGGTCTTGGTCGGTAATAATCCCCATTGGAGCAATTCCATCCATACATTCAAGCCATGCTTTAAACAACCACACAAAGGTTTGTGTATCTTCGTTAGAGACTAATCCACATCCCATTAGCAATGATTGCCCGTGATGATTTACCCCGACAAATGGTGCAAAAGGCATGTCATACCTATTCGTAAGATAGGTCGTGTCAAATGTTATGACATCTCCAAATTCTTTGTACGCATATCTAGACCTATTATCGGCCCAAAATACATTACGCAATCTTGACTCCTCATCTAAGTCAATTACAAAGAAAAATCCGGGACATTGGTCTTGCATTTTAGCAAAGAAACCTTGAATGGCAATTGCATCGCCACTACCTAGCCTAAGTTGTCTCACTTTATCTATATAGTTCCTACAATCTTTTTCAATGAAGGGAAGTTGATCATATTCGCCGGCTTCAACAACGGCCGCGGTGAAGCTTTTATTAAGTCGTATTCCCGCAGCTTCATTTATTGCAAGTTTCCTCGTCATTCCATGAGTCATCCTCCTATGGCACAGGAATAGTCTGGCCTTTGTTGGACTCATAGGATGTGAATGTTGTAGACACACTTTTGAAATTTGCCAAAGTCCCGAATAAATAACGTGCGCACGTAGTCTAGCTCCACACCCTATTTGCATTGAAGGTTGGGGCTTCAATTGATTTTTTGACTGACTACCTCTTTGACCAGCCCGCGAACACTCTAGTACAACTGACACAATCTCTCTTCCTCTTTTGTCTTTTGTTGTGCTCCTAGTTCTTATAGGAAATCCCAAACGCTTCCCATATGCTTTGTAAAAATCATAGATCGCTTCTCTGCTTTCAAACTCCATACCAACTTCCGGCTCTGTACCAAGTTCACTCTCCTTTGCCATCCCTTCTCCATCTGTTATGGTAAATTGCTCATTTATTGATGCATTTGAACACACTTAAACTTACACACAGACAGTGATATATGCACACACAGACAATTCCAAACTTTAACATACATGTTGAATACTACACAAGCAAACAAGTCTTCCACTGTCTACATACAAAAACAAACACACACATAAACAAGTGACACCTCCTACAACTTGCATGTGTCACCAAACGTTTGCATGCGTTTAAAACAATTTAGTATACAGACAGTGTGATATATGCACAGACACAGACAATTCTAAAGCTTCACAGACACGTTGAATACTACTAAGGGGTAAGCACAGACAATTCAAAAGTTTCACATGATGTATGATTTTTGAAGAAACATATGCATCAGTTGATACCAACTTAGGGGTACACAGACACATTATGTATCCACCACTATTTAGGTACACAAACAATTAAACACATAAACACATAAGAACATGTCTGTGAGAAGAAAGCTATTTTAATCTTCATTAAACTACTACAAACATGAGATGAAGTCCTACCGAGGTCAGAAACAACGTCCATAGCCGCCGGCGACGTCTGTCCTTCATCCTCTCCGCCCAGGTGCGTCTCAACGTCACCTTCTCCACCTCCGCCACTGTGTCCATCAACTTCTCCACCTCCGGCCTTCTGTCCAGAGCCTTCTCCGCCTCCGCAAGTCATGTCGTCACCTTCAATTAATTCGGCCGTCTGTCCGTCGGTTTCTCCAGCTCCGCCGGCGTATCCTGCTTCTCCACCTCCGGGAACAGCATTCAACAAAGCCCAAAACTCAGGGTCGTTTCTCACCATGCTCTCATCCATGTAAAAATCCATGGTGGAGGAAGTAAAATCCAGAAATTATCTTTGCTTTTGGTGCTTATGATCGTCGAAGGAAGAAGAGAGGAGGGGCGGGTGTTTTGATTTTCAAGAAGGAAGGGGGGAGCGAGGGAGTTACGCGAGTGAGGTGAGGGGAAAAGGGGAGGAGGGGAAAAGTGGGGGTAATTTTTTTGGGGGCTTTTATAGTGTGTATAGGGTGGGTGCAATTGTGTGTACAAAGAGCATAATTGAAAATTAAAAATGGATCAAAGCAGATGCGAGAAGAGGGAGATGAAATCGAGAGAAGGCAGAGGTTAGGTTGCTGGCTTGTTTCATCAAGAGAGAGAGGGAGCAGAGCGTTGTTGCTTGAGAAATAGAGAAAGATCTGACAATAGGAAGAAAATTAATTAATTACGAATTGATTTACAATGAGGGGTATAATCGACAAATTAAACGCACCAGTCAACCAATTAGTCCTATTTAGGGAATAAACCAACAAGAACTCCTATTTTGGAATTTTATCATTCTTTTAGTTCCATTTAGGGCAATTACTCCGAACATTCTTCTGCACATTGAAGCATCCGACACAAGTTTTTTGCTTTTGACTTGCCAATTGAGTCGGATTCCTCATCTTTATAGTCGCCAAAACTTTCAAGGGGTCTAGACATCAATTCCCTGATTCTCTCGTAAGCTATGTAATTAGCTTAACTCGTTTCATACCTCTACACATCGAATCCCAGTCAATTGGTACTCGATTAGCCATTTTATTTTCCACACAAACATTGGACCGGGCATCACTTATTTATACAAAAAAAAAGTCACGGATTTGTCACGGATTAGTCCGTGACTAAGGGAAGTTATTCCCTGTCGCCAATCTGCCCGAGGAGTTGACAGAACGACTAAAAAAACTATAGTCACGGTCAAATCCGTGACTACGACCATGACTAATTCAAAATTTGACTAATTCAAAATTTTGAATTAGTCACGGTCGTAGTCACGGATTTGACTGTGACTACGCCGGTCAAAAGGGCCCTGACACCTCGTCTGTCGCGGCCTGATTGCGTTGAATACGAAAGGCTTAGTCACGGATTTATCCGTGACTAACGAATTTATTCGTGACTAAGTCCGTGACTACGCCAATATATAAAAACAACACCTAGCGAATTTTATCATTCTCATCCTTTCCCAACCCTAAACTCTCTCTTCCACTCCTTACTCTCTCTTCGATTCTTCCCCGGACCACCGCCGCCACCGTGCCGCCGCCGCCTCTAACGCCGCCGGTCTCCGCCTTCCGCCACCTTCCGCCGCCATCAAGGTTATGTTTTCTAACTTCTAACTTTTCGTATTTCAATAATTAATCATAATTTTTTTAAATTTTTAAAAAATGCATGTTGAAAACTCAAATTAGTTGGATCTATTTTATACACCCTGATGTAGACTGACACCCTGAGCAAACTCCTCAATTTCCGCAGATGGGCGGTTATTTCCGTTCCAACTCTATGTCCGGGTTGCCTTCATGTAGATCTTTTCAGGATATCAATTTTCATAACCTGTTTCAAACATCTGGAGGCAGCCAAGGAGGAGGCAGTCGCGGAGGCAGTCGTGGAGGCCAAGGTGGAGGCAACCGCGGAGGCAACCGAGAAGAAGACGAGACCGAAGAAGATTATCTAGAGTATGATGAATCTAGATACTATCATAATGGCCGGAGGAGCTTGTAAATGATACATTTTTAATTTAAATTGAACATTGTTTATTTATACTATAATTCTAGTCTATTTATTACTTTTATTTCAGTCTGTTTATTAATTTAAATGTGTATTCTAGTCTGTTTATTACTTTTATTCTAGTCTGTTAATTCCACAATTATTTTTTTAAAATAAACTTTTTAAAGTAAATTTAAAACATAATTCTTAATTTTTTTTAAATGAAAAGTTTTTTTAAAAAAAAAAAAATTAGTCACAGATCTAAGCCGTGACTAAATTGTAGACCGGAATTTTTTTTAAATTCTTTTAAAAATTTTAAAAAAAAAAATTTTAAAAAAATTAAAAACTATAGTCACAGATAATGTCCGTGACTAAATTTGAAAATTTGGAAATTTTAACGCTAACTTAATCACGGATTTGTCCGTGACTAACATGTTCGAATTTAAAAAAAAAATATTAGTCACGGATCAGGTCCGTGACTAATATAAAAAAAAAAATAGTCACGGATAATGGCTATGACTAACTCCCCGGTGCGGTTATTCCGGTCACAAATCAGTCACGGATCGTGTCTGTGACTAATCAGTGACTACGCTTAGTCACGGGAAAAAGACCGTGACTAGAATTAGTCACGCCCATATAGTCACAGATTTAGTCACGGAAAAAATCCGTGACTAGCAGAGTTAGTCACGGATTTTTAACACTACGGTCCGTGACTAAATCCGTGACTAACGCCCTGTTTTTTTGTAGATCGGTTGTAACCGATCTAAAATAAAGTTTCATAAATTCTGAAAATTACCCCGTTTTTTTATTCACATCGGTTGCAAATATAACCGATTTAGATTATTTCTTAAAATTCGATAACGTACCCCGTTTTGCTCTTTCACATGGGTTATGACTACAACCTATGTAAAAAAGATTATAAAAATTATAAAAATGACCCTGTGTTAGTAGTCTACATGTGTTTTAAAATAACACATGTAGAAAAGGAGATGTAAAAAGTGTTTTTTTACTAGTGGAAAGTGCTTGAGAATTGTAATTGAGTATCTTGCGAGGCTAGGACTTTGCCTCGAAAAAAGGGCTAGCAACATAAGCAAAACCAACGCTTTTATTAGCGTCGGTAAAAGAACTAGCGACACTTTTTAGCGTCGTCATAGGCAAGTATAAAACGTCTTGAGAACCCATTTCTCTACTAGTATACCTATTATTGCTATTAATGTACCGTCCGCTTATATATGTACGCACATACTTCTTATATAATACTCCCTCCATCCCAAAATGGTTGGCCAAATTTCCTTTTTTGGTCGTCCCAAAAAGGTTGGCCATTTCCATTTAAAGTAAGAAATATGTGGCTAAAGTCAATTCTCTCTCCTCTGCACAAATTTCAACCACACAGTTTTTACTTTATTAATCCACGTGCAAGTCAACATTGGCCAACGATTTTGGGACAGAGGGAGTAGTATTCCAATATTGTGTACTAAATGTTATACTCATATTATTAAAGTCAATTTTTTTATCAACCGGTGTTAAAGTTAAATGATCCCTATTGAACATTAATTCATGTTTAATAATTGAAATTTACATATTCAGAAACTATATTAAAATCTCTATAATGTTGCAAAATCCAAATCGAAATTTATTTATTTTTTGATAGGATTGGAAACTGACTGATTATATTAAAATACAAAGATCAATGACAATCACTACAAGAAAAGTGCACATAGACCGCACATAGACCATTTTTTTGCGATGGCCGCATAACTGTCGTTAAAAACATCATTAACCACACATTTTTTTATTTACCACATACAAAACTGTGGTAAAAGGTCATACACGACAGTTTTTAACCGTAGCCAATGTTTTTACCACGGCTGTTGTGGCGACGCACGTAAAACTGACGCAAAACTGTCGTAAATGTTCCTCATTACATTCTTACGACAGTTTTGCGACAGTTTTACGTGCGTCGACACAACAGCTATGGTAAAAACATTGGCCACGGTTAAAAACTGTCGCCTCTAAGCTTTTACCACATTTTTGTGTGTGGTAAATAAAAAAATGTGTGGTTAATGGTGTTTTTAACGACAGTTATGCTGCCATCGCAAAAAAATTGTGGTCCATGTGCAGTCTATGTGCACTTTTTTTGTAGTGAATACAAACTTATCAATACGAAGCAGGCTCCTACGACTAAACTCGCCATACCCGAAGGTTCCCTCGCCCTCTGATTACACATAGAAATGACCACCCTAGCTAAATCCTAATGAGAGCAGATCGAGTCGCTAACTATGTGAGACATTTGAAGATCACCTCGGCTTCTAAAGCCACCTTACTTCTTCGACAACAATACCTACCAACCTAAAAAACATGATCCATCCAAAACACTAAGGATCCAAAATTAAAACCAAAAAGGAAGAGAACAATAGTAATATGCGAACTAAATTTCAACTGGTGGAGCGGTAAAATCCGTACTACATTCATTCGTCTTCTTCCATACCCTAGTCTTGAAGCTCCTCTGAGGTGGCGGTTTTGGAGGGGGACGAATCATCCGCATATTGTCTTCTTCCACTGCACCACCACATGAGGCGGCCAAACCTTTCGCACCAGTCCCTCCACCACCCAATTGGAACCCAAGTTCACCCCTTCTACCGAACTCCATAGTACCAATGTTCCACCCAGATCAAACATGGCTGGTGTAGCTTTCGTCTCAAAAATTAACAAAGCCAGAATAGCCAAACCCAACAGCGGACAATCGAGCCTAACAAACCTAGCCGTCATAGGAACACGACCACCTCTGGACCCATTTATAGCTCCCATCACGTCGGCTCTTCACCTAAGGATATGCGATCTGTCACGTCTTCCTCCAAGAAGCCCCCTCACTGACCTCCGCCAACCAGAGACGTCTTCAACACAAACTGGCAAATCCTTCCTCGGTCAATCCCCTAACTTCTCCACGATATGATGTTGACCAGAGCCGAACTTGCCCCGTCCCTTGGATGACCGCAGGGCAAGACCGAAGCAACGTATTGACTCCTTCAACCCAACCGTTAAATCCACGATCCAATCAGAACTCTGGATGTAATCGTCCCTCCGATCCCCACCGATCACGCCGCACACCCCCAGCCCTTCTACGAACGAAAACTGTCCAAAGCTAATGCATGCCTAAACCCTAGGCTCCGTCCGCGGCTAATTGAAATTTAATAAAAAATTGATATCCT